GGGCTGGCGCTGGCGGAGCCGAGCGACAAGATCTTCCCGAGGCAGAAGTTCACGGCGACCGCCATCTTGCCCTCTTTCTTGGTCGCAGTCCCGTCGGAGTGCGCAGCGCGGACCGCCTTGCTCGGTTTCAGCCCGCACTTCTGCATGTCCTTGATGGCGGAGAGCTTCAAGCCAAGATCTGAGACTGTCTTGACCCACATGCTGGATTTCGGGTGATTCTGGCCCTGGATCACGGGGTCCGTCAGAGCCTTCGGGTCCTCCAAGGTCGGCACAGGAGGGATCATGTCCTTGAGCCCCTGCGCTGACACCTCCAGGTCACGCACCCAGCCCGCGTTGATCGCGTCGGCCGCTTGGGTGCACCATGAGGCCAGCTGCTTGGCGTGGTCGAGCGCGGCTGGGAACTCTGGGCCGGCCCCTCCCCAGTGCCCGAACTCAGGGATTAGCTGCTGGAAGCCAGCAGCCAAGCATTCGAACTGCTTCACCTTCTGGTGAGCTGCCGCCTCGCATGGCACCGCGCCCGCGTAGCCGAGAGCCTCGATGCCAGCCTTCATCAAGCCGATGTACCTCCCCAGGAAATCATGTTGGGACCTCGCAACGTCATTCCAGATCGCGCAATCAGCAATGCTCTTCAAATCCGCAGCGACGTCCAGCTCCTTGACGGCGTCGATGCTTTCAGTGGTGATGTTTGTTGCGGAAACACACGCTGTGTCTGAGCACAACTTGAAAGCGGCGTTCACGTTGGCTCGAGGCGCGGCCATTCCCTCGGTGGCAATGGCGGAGAGCTTCTCTCCGACATCCTGCGGCGGCTGCCCTCCAAGAAAGTCACCCTGTTTCAAACGCTCTGCCCCCCGTGCCCGCCTTTTCCACGCCGGGGGGGAGTCAGAAAAAACCAGGGCCAACGCGACCAGAACCAATGGAGGGGGCAAACCGTCAACAGTTGAAGCGAGAGGGGCGCGGCAATCGGCAAAGACTCCGCCACTGCGAATAAAAACGCGATGGGCCTACGAACCCGGGAAAGGAAATAGAACCGCATGCATGGGCGACGTTTTCACGACACCGCATTGGGCGACGGGCACTTTCACGAGACACCCCGCGAAACATTCCACGGGACACGGGTGGCCGTTTTCAAGGTGGGGTAATGCTGTAATGCTGGGGCGTGGTCGTGCTGGGGTTTGGTCGTGCTGGGGCGGGGTCGTGCTGGGGCGGGGTCGTGCCGGGGTGCCCAGATCCCTCAAGTCCTACAAAACAAGCGATTCGCTCGAGACATCCTCGGCAACTCTGCGGAGCAAGCGGTTCGCTCGAGACATCCTCAACACGCGAAAGAGCGGCCCGCGCCCTGTGATTTATCGATCGGGATTTCAGAAACAAGCGCTTTGCCTGAGACATCCTCAAATTTAAATCCGCCGGCCCACCTCGACCTCGATATTTACCAAGGAAAGAATTCGCCAGCCCACCTCAGCTGAGGCACCGGGGACAGGTTTGCGGACTAAAGGAGAACCCTGGGCCCACGCCCTTTCCGGGAACATTGGGCCTCGCATGGAGGGGCCGCCAGGGCGCGCGAAAAACTGAGTCGCAACTAGACGGAGTGTAAAATTTTCAGCGAGGCCTCGTCCAGATCGGCCCGACAGTGGTAGCATTCCATCATCATCATCCAAGTCCTCCCCCCCCATCATCCTTCTCCTACCGTCCGCCATCTGCCATCTCCCCCGCCTCTCTTCCTCCTGCTCCTCCTCCTCCTGCTCCTCCTCCTCCATCCTCCTCCTCATCCTCCTGCCATCGCCCGGGGTCCTTGACGAACATCATGCGCACGCTGTCGATCGATATGCACGGCAGCGCCCGAGCCATGCCATCGCGCTGCCTGAGCTTCGCCTCGCACGCCTTCAAAGGGTTGAAGTCGGCGAGCCACATCAGCTGATTGACGGTCTCCGAGGGGAGGCTCTCAACATGATCCTTGGCCGTGCGCAACGAGAGCTCCAGCTTGAACCAGGCCGACAGCCTCTCCAAGGCGAACTTGGCCTCCGCGAGAGATTCGAAGCGGCCCGCGGTCGCAAGCACCGAACAACCATCGCTGGCCCCAGCGAAGTCAAACCCGTCTGGGCCGCACAAGAACGGACCCGGCGCAAGCTTCGCGTCCCCGAACTGCGCCGTCCAGGCGGCCATGTACTGCGCGAGGAGCATGAAATGCAACTGGGTCACCCTCTCATCGACCTCCCCGCGGAGGGCCCGCACGCAGGCCGGCTCCTCGGGGTCAGCGCCGGTGGAAACGTCCTCGTACGCCCTCGTGATCTTCGCGACGATGGAGGGCGCTTCGCCCGCCCAAACGTCGCGCGCCAGCAAGTCGTCGGTGTTTGCCTTCATCTCCGTCAGCCTCGTCGTCAAGGTGGCCTGCTTCTCCAACCGCTGAGCGACGTCGACGGCGCGGTTCACCACGGCGTCGCCCAGCCGCTTGTACTTGCGGAGCTGAGATAGCAACGGGCCAAGGTCCCCATCAGTGCATGCATCCCCCTTGATCATGGCAGTCGCCTCCTTGAGATCTGACACGACGGATTCGACTGACGCAGATTCGGGGACGTCAGCGACCAGCATGGTCATGACGCGCACGTCTTCTGCCATGGCCTTTCCGCCGACACGGTCAGCAAGCTTCTCGCCCAGGCGGAAAGGCTCCAGCGCGTCGCGCAACGCCTTGACGGCATCGCTAGCGGACATACTGCTAGTCAGAATGTTGGCGACCATCATAAGCACATACTTTTCCTGCCGCTGCTCCAAGTGGATGGGCTTGCCCACGAGGTCTGGGAACATCGCTGTCATGCGATGAGGTTCCAGCACCTCCGAGTAAGACATCAAAGGCGCCGCCGAAGCGCGAGCTTCCATGAATATCTCCCACAAGAAGCTGCAGTTGAGTTCGACCTTCGGTGCCAGAGCGCACCGCTCGATGAGCTGGTCCCACTTCTGCAAGAAGCCTGAATCGAGCGAGGGCGAGGGCGCGAAGAGGAGGCCCGAGGGCATGGTGGGACGAGAGGGTACAGCGATAACAAGGCCAAGGCCCAGGAGAGTGGAGGCGGCGCCCGGCGGGTGATATTTGACGACCGAACAACACACACCCATACCCATAGGGGCGGTCGTTGGGAGGAGGACTCGCTATGGGCACGGGTGCGGGTTGTCGCGCCCTGGGGAACGCCCCCGTTCGAGCGGGGGCCCCCGTCCGACAACGCGTGCCCACAGCCCTCTCCGAACCCCCTATGGGCATGGGCGCGTGTTGTTGGTTCGTCAATTTTTCTCGGCTTCCAAGAAGGCGGCGGAGAGACGCCTCGGACGCCCTCCAGCCATCTGAGAAGCGCCCCTAACCTTTTTTCTGAAGACTGGCGAACTTCCAAGAAGACTGGAGGGCTTCCAGAACCACGCTCCTGATTCCCCCTCCCCCTCCCCCCAGAACCCGTCGACGGCCTGTGACCCGATCTGGGAGACCGCCAACTTCGCCCGCGCCCCCAGTAATCCACTTCTGGTAGGCGCGCTGGGCCTCGTCGATGACCTGGAGAGCCTTCCTGTAGTAACCGATCTGCTCTTTCTTCTGCTGGTCGGACTCGGCGTTCTCTTCCATCAAGGCCTTCTCCACGTAGCGTTTGATGCACCTGTTTGCTGTGAACCAATGCTGGTTGAAGAAATTGCTCGTGGCAGTCGCCGAGGCGAACGCGTTCATCTCGCGCGTGGCGTTCTCCTCCGCGCCCCGCTGTGCGCGGCCGCGCTTGCCGGGCGCAGCAGGGCCACTTGGGGCGGGGGCCGGCAGCGCAGCGCCCTCCTCCTTGGGCTGGTCCTTGGGCCCCTCCAACGCCGGGGTCTGTCTACGGGTGGCCGTCGGTTTGGGTCTGGCTTTTGGTTTGGCCACCTTCTTCTTGTTCTGGGCCCTTGGCTGGTCGGACTCGGTGTCGGATATGATGCCGAGGCCCCTCCTCCTCTTTAAGATCTGCTTTCTCATCTTACTGTTCGGTGATGGGGTCTTTCCATCGATGCCCGCGGCCTCCTCGCCGTCGCCCTTCTCCGCCCCGGCAGCGGCCTTCGCCCCCTGCTCCGCAGCGAGCTGCAACAATTGCTGCATGGTCATGCCCGTCGCCTTCTTCTCGACTGCATGGTCAGACATCTTCACCAAGTCATCGAACTTGTCTCCGACGGGGTCGTCGTCGCTGCCGACCCCCGACTCGTTGCCGCTGTCAATCTCCTCCTCGTCAACGAGGTCGGTTGCGTACTCCTGCTGGAGCTTCCATGGGGTTCCTTTTTCGGCCGGCATCAATACCATTTTCTTTCCCTGGATCTTCGTCAACTTGTGGCCAGCCTTTTTCATGAGTTTCTCGTCGTACTGTTCTTTGTACTCGTCCCATGGCAGCGCGTCGGGCGGCGGCGGCAAAAGCTTGGTTGAATGGCGGCTCTGCTTCCTCAACGTCCTCTTCCTGGAAGCCGTCGGGGACTTCTTGTCGCTAAACCCCCTCTTCCCGCTCTTCCACCGCGCCGCCAAGTCCGATCGGTAGCCGAGGAACTCATCCCTGAAACTTCCGTCCTGGCCGTCGATCTCCTCCTGGACCTCATCCCTGCTCATCCTATGAGAGTATTTGGACTTGTACACCCGGCCGCACAACTTGTCCGCGAAGCCGTTCTCGTACTCCCACTCTATCACCCTGGCGGGGTCGATCGGGCACTTCGTCGTCCCCTTGATGGCGCCGCACCGAAAGAAACACCGCATGGTGCCGTTGAGACAAGGTTCCGCTTTCTTGTCCGAGGATGATGAAGCGTCCGGCTTCCTGAGCGAGCTCCTGCGCGAGTGGCCTGAACGAGCATGCGAAGCGGCGTCGCCATGCACCTCAACCCCTTTCTTACCCATCTGGACAAATCAAGCGCTGCCTAGATCAGAGAATCACGGCTACGGAGCGCTGGAATAGGCGGCCGCCAACCCCCATCCAGGTTCCACCAACGTCGACGCCCCCGCCAATGACGGGGCCCCAAGGCAGCCCAATGGTCACGGGCCGAATGGCCCGAGATAGCTTCGGATGGCGCCCAAAGAGGCCCAAGGATGAGGAGGCCCAATGAATACAAGGCCCAGGGCAGGCCAACGCCAGGTACCTCTTAAGGCGCGCGCGGCGCCCCCCGCGACGGCTGGGCCCCCTGGCCGCGATCGCGACCTCCTCTCCCCCGCCCCGGCCCCCCCCCTCGCCCTCCGCCCCCCCCGGCATTCGCGGCGAAATCGACGCCGACGTCTCTTTCAGATATGTCAGCGTTGTCGGGGCGGGGCGGCCCCTCCGCGGCTCTCTCGGGGCCGCCATAGAAAATTGACTTCTGGCGCCTCGGGCGCGTGGGGGCCCATGGGCCCGCGGGGGACTCTGCGATGGCCAAGCTAGAGATAACTCCGAGGGGGCGGGCAGGCCGCGAAGAAGTTGGCGACGGGCCAAGCCCCTGGGGCCAAGAGGGGCGGGGGGAGCGGGATGGCCACCAGCAGCGGCAGCAGCAGCAGCATCCAGACAGGAGGAGGAGGGGGGGCAGGAGGACGAATAGAAGAAAGAGGAACAGGAAGAAGAAAAATATGACGAAGAGGAGGGCGAGGGGGAGAAGGAGGAGGACGGCATAATTCTTCTTCCCAGGCAGAGGCCGCTCGAGCTCCGCCCTAGGAACTGGGGCCCGGAGCCCTGCCGCAAGCACAGGCAACGACGATCTCGGCGTGGTCCACGTCGTCCTGCGCCTAGACTGCCGTGTCGGTGAGGCCGCCGTTTGAATCCGAGTCGATCTCGGCGTCGCTGCTGGTGCCGCCCTCCTCCTCCTCGCCCTCGCACTCTTCCTCGCTGCCCTCATCCTGAACTTCTGCGCCCTCTCCCTGGCCCTCGAACGACGCGATCGTCGCGCCGACCTTCAGGTGCGCGCTCCGGGCGGCCTCCGCGAGGTCCCAATTCAAGTAGGCGACGGCACCCAACAAGACATACGAGAGAACGAACCAATTCATTGCGTTTCCAGCCAGACTGAGAAGCATGGGATCTGGAAAACGACCGTAGTCGCTATTTTGGATGACGTCGCTGATCTCCCAGCCCTGCAGCGCCATAGCTTCAACCCCAGTCATGTCTCTACCAGCCCGGAAGTAGAAGGGCCTCGATGACGAGACCAAGCAGGGCGCGCTCCAGGAATCGTAGTTGGCACACTGCCATCCCAAAGACATGTTGAGGTCGACCACTGTCTCTTTCTCGAAAATGAAAGCGTGACCCTGCGAGATGGCGGCGCGATGGCGCCAATACACGCACTCCTTGGCGCGGGTAGTCAAGTGCTCCACAGACTGTCCGATGCCAAGTTCGTCGAAGTCCTGCTGACTGGGGGGCCACTGATAAAGCATCGAATCGTAGATCATCTTGTGATCGGTCTCGCACTCTGGCTCCCGCTTCGGTTTTCTTCTTATTCGTCAGGCGACTCTCTCTCCATGCGATGATTTCGTCGTGATTGGGATCTTTGAGCATGAAGTCCTCGATGGTATATTTCTGACCCGATTGACTCGCTGTCTGCAAGAACGCGGAGAGGCCGCCGATATTCCCCAGCGTCTCGCCGTCGGCTCTCTCCTGGTTGATCGGGGCGCTGCTTGTCAGCAAAGCCACCAAGTAAATCCGCTTCCTCGACTGCGGCACGCCGCAATCGACTGGATCGTAAACGCCCTTGTGCACGACGTAGCCGTAAGAATTGAAATCCTCGATCACCCTGGCGCAGTCGGAGGGCTTCTTGTTGGGGCCGCCAGCGTCCATGTTGCGAACGTTCTCGAGGATGACAATGAGAGGGCGGTACTTCTCTACGTACGCCATGCCGCCACGACACGTGCGGCCGCTTTTCTTCTCGTTCTGCACATAACAGCCTTGGTCGCGAGTGGCCACGTTGAGGCCGCTGTAGTTGTCGCATTCCGAGCCGAAGATGAAGACGTCGACGGAGCGGGCGCGATGCTCGGCACCAGCGCTGGAAAGCACGCCCTTCCATGTATCTCCGCTGAGCAAGGCGATATCGCCACGCAAGACATCTGGCCGATGGTGCACGCGGATGAACTGCTGAATAGATGGGTCGGTCTCGGCGCCGAAACAATGATGAATGCTCGCGTCGCCCCCGATCTGCTCCCGCCACATCTTCGCGAGCAGCTCCATGACTTTAACGGGCGTCTCGCTGCCAGAACAGCCAGTGCCCACTGAAATGCGGCCCGCCCTCTCGGCGCAGGCGGCTGAGCGAGTTCATGCTTGCCTAAATAGACGGGGCCTGCCCCGCCCTGCCTGGGCAGGGGGGGGGGGGGGGCGCAGGGGGGCGGGGGCCTTCGCGGGGGCTCCAAGAAGGCTCCAAGATGGCCCCGCGAGAGATCCCAGGTCCCAGAGAACCCCCAGACGGCGTCTAAAAGGTTTCAATACTAATCCAGATGGCCATGGCCATCTGGATATCTTGCGCGGCCGTCGTGGAGCCTTCTTGGAGCCCATTTGGATCGCCATCTGAATATCTTCCCAGAGAACCCCCAGACGGCGCCAAAAAGGGCCCCAATAATAATTCAGATGGCCATGGCCATCTGGAAATCTTTTGCGGCCGCCTCGGAGCTATCGTGGAGCCCTCTTGGGCCCTCTTGGAGCCCTCCTGGGGCCATATTGGAGCCCTCTTGGGCCCCCATCGGCGGGGCCCTCTCGAGCCACCTTGGAGCCATCTTGGAACGACCTTGGGGCCCTCCCGGTCTGTTCCAAGACGGCGCCCTGGAGAGCTCCAAGAGGGCCCAGGGCGAATGGGAACGCGCCAAGCGCCAAGGATCACGTTGCCTGTGCCGCGCGCCCGTAAAGCGTGCAGCGCTCCCACCAAAGACATCCTGAACGAGGCGCTGGCGCGGTCGTGCACCGCGCGGATGTGATCCATGAGCTTCGATGTCGGCGCCGCCGGGGCCGTCGGCTTCTCCTCCAGAACAGACATATCTCACCCGTCTACAGAGCCGAGCGAAGCAAATCACTTGGGCGTCCGAGGCCCGAGACGGGCCCCTCGCCGACCCCCCCGCCGGCCCGGGGGCGGCCCCGACCCCGGCCCCGCCCCCGCAGCCCCGCAGGGGCTTGCGCCGACATGCGCCTGTAAACCCCGAATGCATCGAAGGAGGATCGAATAGATCATCGTCGGAATTCGCGCGCAGGGTCACCGCCCCAGGCATTCTTAGTAGCGCAGCGCGTGCATTATTGGTATCCGTTGTAACGATATGATGGTATTGGTGGTACTGTTGGCATGGCATTATTGGTATTGTTGGTATTCTTGGTAATGAATTGTTGGTATTGTTGGTAAGGACTCCGCGGAGCTCCGCGGAGCTCCGCGCATTAATGGTTTTATCGATAAAACACGCATAAACCATTAATGCGCGGAGCTCCGCGGACGCCACGCCAAGAATACCAAAAATGCATTACCAAGAATACCAAGAATACCAAGAATGTATTACCAACAATACCAACAATTCATACACCCCACCAACAACTACAAACAATGGTACGACATCGTTGATATCAACCTCAAGACCGACGCGTCCAAAACCCAGAATCATCCTTCAGGCGTTTCACCCCGATGTCCCGCGCCGACGGCGAAGTGGCCGCGGCTTCCTGGGCCGGCCCCAAGTCGTGGACCTCCTCGACCGCATCCCCTGAATGAACTGAGGAGTCGTCATTGCAGTGGTGCAGCGCGTCGAAGGCGGCGCCCAGATCCTCGCCCTCCGCCCGCGCGTCCTGCGAGCCAAAAAAGTCAGCGCGCCCGCCCGCCCCACCCTCCACGAGCACCCTGCCAAGGCCAAGTCCCTGGGCATAAGGAGCCCGATGCAAGTTTCACAGAGGCAGCTTTACATGCATTTTAAATGCGACAGCCGCAGCTGCGCATGCACCTGTACTAACAAGAACGCACCGCCCCTTTAAGATGCCGGCTCGCCTCAGCGGCACAGGCCCCTACAGCGCCGACAAAACAACAGCTTCCTGAATCGCCCCCTCACCGCCGTAGACCCACCATGCCTCCCCTGGCCCATGGCCCGTGGCCCATGGCCTTCTCCTCTTCTTCCTCCTCCTCCTCCTCCCGCCCCCCCCGCTCCCTGGGCCCAGAGCCACAGTTGGCGCGCTCCGCCAATGTTGCCGGCCTGGCGGGAACGCGCGAAGCGCAATAACTTAACCTTCTGCTACCTGCACGCGTGGAGAAGACCCCCAGAACAGCGTGGAAACGCCCCAGGCCCCTTTCAGGCGAAAACACATCTGAAAGACCAGGATATTGGAGACGCGCCCCGCGGACTGGCAGAGGATGGTGGAGGAGGATGGAGAATGCAGAGGGCGTCCTTGGCGGAACTCTCGTCGGAGCCCCGGCCTGCCCCGGCGTCGCCGACGACGGTCTCCTTGCGATCGGCCGCGACGGGCGCCGCCGCCGCCGCCTGCGGCGCGCCCTCGCCCTCCCCCACGCTATCCGGCCCACCTGCTGACCCTTCGCCGCCTTTCTCCTCGCCGGGCTGGGGCGCGGGGCATGGGCCCGCCTGGCCCACCTCGCCCTCGATGGCAGCAGCCGCCACTGGCTGCGGCGCCACCTCCTCTGGCCGCCTGATAGCGCCCTCCTGGCAGGGCGAGGCCCACTGGGCATCCTGATCCTGCGCCGAGGCCGCGGCGTCGCCATCTGCTTGCGCCAGTCTTCGCTCCATGCCCCTGGCCCTGGCGCCGCCCGGGGCACGTCGCCTGCCTCAGCGCCCTCCTGAGAGGGTGGCGCGCGCTGCAACTCGCTGCTATCATCATCCTTCGCCGCCCCTGGAAGCAACTGCCGCTCGCCTGCGACGGCGTACTGACTCAAAGCCGCGCCCTTGAGGACCTTACGCGGCGGGCCTGCCGTCGCCTCCTC